TCTCTCTCTCTCTCTCTTTCTCCGTTTCTCCCTGAAGCTGTGAGCAGAAAGAGGTGCAAAAACCAGGTAGGGTGATTAGAAGTTCGTCCTGAAACGCCGGTGCAAATCCTAGGAATGTGCTCTTCGGTGGCTACAACAGCTCACCAGCTGCCAACGGTCCGCGCCCTGAGGTTCGTTCAATTCCCAGTCTTTAGCCTTCGCGGATTGAGGATTTATGCTTATTGTAGCGGCCTATACAATTACCAGTATTTTTTGGGGGCTCCTCATCAAAATTATGGTATAAGGGACCCCCAAACCCTGTTCTAAGTATTAAGGCCCCTACATGCGGGTTTCGGGGTAAGGGCACATGCAACAACAAGAGGTTAGGATCGTCTATGCTCCTAGCCCTTCCCTCCAGTCTGTCGAACCATCATTCGAAGCAATGATGAAAGCTGAACCCCGAGCCCTGCAACTCCAAGCCCCTTTCAACCCTGGAAACCCTACAATGCCCAAAGCCTACACCCCAAACTCAAACGCGAGACGGCTCAACAGATGGGTCTTCCGGCTTGAGGGCTTGAGGGTTTGCGGTTGAAGGGGTCGGGGTTTGCGGCAGATTACGGGGTCAGGAGGCTGGATGCAGACTACAGATACAGCGAAGTAGAGAAGGGTCGGGCCAGAAAACATCCCTGCTTCGCAGCTGAGGTGCCGGTGACACTGGTCCCAAGGAGCATGTGGAAACGAGCCATGGTCTGGTTGAGATATGCTACAATTAGAACTATTGGCAGTCTTGTCTATGTATTATCGCTTTTGCCAAGTGGTCGCGGTCGGACTTGGCTGAGAGGTATTGACACTTCAGGCATTGCAAGCAAGGAGACGCCCTAAACCTGAACCCTAAACCCTTAAACCCAAATGCTAAACCCTAAACCACTAAAGCCCTAAACGCCTAAACCCTAAACCCTAAACCGATGATGAGTTTGGTGTTTGGACCTTGCTGAGCCAGATGTTTGGCCACAACCCCACGCCCGACATATTAGGGTCTTTCAGAGCAGAGCTGCACTAAGATACCATGATATAAGATAGTCATATACTGTGAGATATACTATAGAATACTACAGTTACTACAGTCTACTATAATAGAATACATTACAGTATACTATAGCATACTATACTAAAGTCAGCTCGAGTTACTTCCCAAAGGTATGGCACCCTCCCCACCCCAAGTGAGAAGAAGCTGGCTCTGTTAAGTCGCCTACTACAATGTGCAGCACAACTCTTTAGGGGCTCAGGCTTTCGCATAAGGCTTGAAGGATCCCCTCCCTGCAAGGGTGCTATAGGGTTCGATAATAGGGTACTCCATCATACTGTAGTACCCTATTCTAGAACCTTATATAGCACCCTTATAGGGCCTTGTGCTGCAGCACCTTTCTGGTTTTTTGTTGGGCCTTGGGAAGCAGCCAAGGAGTGTAGCTGCCGTGGCAGAGATGCTCGTGGGAGCCAAGGAGGCCGCCTGGAAACCAGATTTGGGATCTACGGCTCTGGTTTAGGGATTTCGGGTTTCTAGGGTTTAGCGGTTTAGGTGAATGTTCTAAGGATTTTTATTCATTACAGGGCTTGTTTTAATTACCAGCTTGGGGTCTCGATACGCGCTTTGATGGAAGTGGGACGAAGAGGGATGTGATCGTGCAGTGCCACAGGGCTTTCAACGCAAGGCTGCGAAGACCATTGTTGAGGATGCTCATCAGCCCTGGTCTTTCGGCTCTGGGCTTTGTGTTTTAACATGCAGGATACGAACTTTGGGAAACCCTCCAGATATGACACAAACCCTCAACCCTGTAAGCCTGAACTCCCGCAGGCGAAAAGCCCCAAACCCCCAAAACCTGAAACCCCTACACTTTGAGAACCCTAATCCCTTCGCCCTTACGTCCTCATTCCAGGTGCTAGTGGTGCCGGGATACGGCATGGCTATGGCTCGGGCTCAGACGCTGAGCTGTTTTCATGGTTTATGTGAGGCTTGTACGGCTTGTGTGTTGAGGCTTTCAAGACTTTCTGGTTGGAGTTCAAGGGTCGGGTGTTTCTGGCTTGTAGGGTTTTGGGGGTTCTGTGGAGACGGTTGAGCCTTGAAGACTTGGGGCTTAAGTTCTTACCTTCTTACCTCACCCTGGCTTTAAACCCCCAACCGTGAACCTTCTTAGGGAAAAGCAGGGCCTGCAAAAAGTAGACACCCCCTAATGCCCAAGCCTTACCCCCAAACCCAAGGCCCCATGCCCTCAACCCCAAGCCTACCCCTAGGCCTTACTCCCCGAGCCTTTTAAAGTGCCAAGTAGTTGCACGGACCTCTTTTGAGCCTAGGACCGCTATGGGAGAGCTGGCAAATGCGCTTCGAGCAAACAACGTCAACATGAAGTTCGGCCACTTGGCGCCAAGAATCTTGGGAAGTTCGCAGGCTGTGGTTTAGGGGAATAGGGAAATAGGGTTTACGGTGTAGTGCGTAGGGGAATACAGTTTAGGGTTTAGGGTACAGGCTAGGGTCGCTTGAGAACCCCATTAATACTTATCTGAGAACAACAGTTCGCAATTAAGTGAGATTAGTTAGGAAAAGCAGTGGCCGAGTCTTCGGGTCTTTCCAGTCAGCAGCATTGCTTCAGCGTTGTTCTTTATACGAGCAAAAAGTACTCAACTACCCTATTCTGATCGTTCAAAGCCTTGAACCCGCGTCACGAATGCAGAGCACAAGTGAGTGAGCCATCCGCGCCCCATGACCTCGAGAATCACGGACAGTAGGCAGTCTTCCTTATAATATTAGCCCCGAAGCGCATTCGAAGCAGGAAAAGCCTTCAGCTTTTCCGTAGTAACCGGGCTTTCGATTTAAAGCTATCTGTGGAGCTCCGTGCGTCTTGTGTCGGGCTTCCGTCAGCCCGAATCTCGAAGCTCCACGGCCCGGGCCACCTTCAGCCTCGTGCCCCTCGACCCAAGCCGAAGGTCTAAACCTCAAGCCTCCAGAAGGCTTGATATTTCGTCTATAGCCTATAGCCTATAAATAGGGTGTTAGGGTATAAGTACAAGCAGACTCGGGACGCAGAAGTACTTTGAGATCATGAGAACGCCTTTTCAGCCGCGAGGTGTTCACCCTGTGGCCGGACGCATGCCCGGGCAGATGAACGTGCTCTTGGCAGAGGCCAGTCCAGTGGTGTGTAGGGGTTCTGCAGGCCTTATAGGCTTACAGGCGTACAGGAGCTTACAAGTTTTGTGAAACGGTTTTCGATTCGGAGTTTGGGTTCAGAACGCTTAGGTTCGGGGGTTTCGGGTGGTTCCGGAGAACTGTGGGTGTGCTCTGAGTTGGCGGCCTTCTTTTCTGGCAGGCTTGATGTGGCCTTGGAGGCCAAAGCAAACGTCAGACCAACACCCCCAAATGACTGCTAAGCATCTACGGCAGTGTCTGACTGTCTTGTCGCCCTCCATCCGGTCTTGATGGTTCATGAAACCACAAACCCCATAATGACCCGATGGAGACCCCCCCTTTACCTGCTCGACACCGGCAGGCGGGCGTGCCCCACGAGTGGGTGCTGGAGATGGACGAAGTGACCTTTGGATCGGATTCTAACGGATAAGATGCTATATTTTGCTCTGTTTATATCATACTGTGATTATTATACTTAAGTATACGATGCTATACTTTGCTAAAATATACTAACATGTGGATAAGAGTTGCGGGCATTAGGTTTACAGCTAGTGGCTTCGGGGATCCGCTTAAGGCCAAGGGTCTAAGTAAGCATAGAGCCATTGCAATTGCAGCCCCCTTGTGGCCTGCGGGAGGCCGCTAAATGAGACGAAATGACGGAAACTGCAAGTCGCCCTGGTGCATTGTCCACTTGTGATGCTTACCTATGGCTGAGAACGATCTGTCAAGAAGTGCAAGGTACTTTAACTTCATTCTCTGAGCACGGTACCTTTAAGCCATAACCCCGAAGCTCCAAACCGTCAAAACAACAGTTTGAGTGAAATCCCTTGTTGGGCTTGAGTGTTGGGCACATGGTAGGAACATGGTACCCAGTCGCAGTGATGCGACCTTCAAGCAGAGATTGCATGCCAATCTCCTGCTGCAGGGAGAATGAAAAAGATAGAGCAATGTTGGCGTCTGTTCTGTTGGATTCATCCAGGGGTTGACTTCCTACTCTAGACTCTAGATGTTGAGGGCCAAGCGAGGCAGGGAACCGGAGCTGCGGGTCGGGGAAGCTTGAAGGAGCTTGTCGCGCATTGTCTTCTCTCCAGCTTTAAACGCCATGGTGGTTCGCTTCCATCGCTGTCTTCAGGCTGTAGGGTGTAGAAGTTTGGTCTTAGATAGGCTTTGGGCTTAGCTCTGGATCTTAGGAATCCCGACATGGAGAACAACGATGTGGTGCTGGTAGTTGGCGCCAACGATGTCGTGAACTCGGCAGCGCAGGCGGCCTTCACGTGTTGAGTCTGCCAGACAAATCAGAAACCCGGAATTGCTTCAGTAGGTGTATGTGGCAGGGTTAGTTCAATCTAGTTAGTTCAGTCTTGGCTTGGCCCTGGCCCATTCGAGCTGTGTGCATCTACACCCCTTGGAGGAGATTGAAGGCTGCGCCATTTGGGGAATGCCGGTGATCGAAGTTTGGCGATCAAAGAAGGTGATCTTCTGCAAGCGGTCAATGGGCGGAGGCTGGCAGAGCAGCAGTCTCCCTAAGCCCCAGGAAAATGTGGATAGTACCTATAGTCTCCATTGTAGTTCCTTTTTGGGGTTACCTTCTAGGATCCTTATGATAGATTTGGTTAAACCAAGAAAAGGAACTACAATGGAGACTATAGGTAGTCTCCAGTCTAAAGGCCACGACCTTGATGATCCTCCATTCACAGGTTCTAGAATGTGGATGTTGTTGGTGTTTGTCTGTTGTCCAGCAGCAACATTCCGCGCACTCGCTCACCAGCCGCCTTCAGCTTGTAGCCATTCGTAGTCCGGCGAAGGCTATGCGGATCTTGACAACCCCGTCTTCTACAAGGTGCGCTTCGGAGGGGTTGGCACAGTGTAGCAGGGTGGGACGAGACCTTCTGCATAACTTCTCTTTCGCATGGCATCTCCGACCTAATTACGCTGAACACTTTTGATGATGACGAAGCGGCGAAGCATGACACATCATGACATACTGTATTTCTCGTAGCAAAACACAGCGGATTCCACCCCACCCCCAACCATTCTTGGGCTTCCAGGCTCAGCCCGCAACACACCGGACAATTCCTTGGAGCCTAAGTTTTGCCAGGAGAACACCGAGATGCTCCTGGGAGATGCGAAGAAGACCTCCGACTCCCTGGCTGCCATGGTTAAGGAAAGGTTCGAGAAGGTCTAAGCGATACCTCGGAGGACAAGGGGGGATGGGGGCAGCAGGGCGCAGGATGGATTGATGACCGTGAGATGACGACGAGGAGGATTATGGTACTGGCGTTTTTGCTGGCGGCTGACGGTGATGGCGATGAGGATGAAGACATATCTTAGGAGTACTGCAAGGTGTTAGTACATGGGCAATGCAACTACCAGTGCTACTGCTGCTGCGACTGCGACTGCGACTGCTACTGCTACTGCTACTAATACTACTGCTATGGCTACTGCTTCCTGCTACTGCTGCCACTATCGCTGCTGCTACTGCTAGTGCTACTGCTACTGCAACGACGACGATGACGACGACTACTACTGAGACTGCTGCTACTACTGCTGCTGCTGCAGC